TACACCCTTTTTCCACTTGTGCCTTTCAGGTGAACGACAGCCGCTGAACGACAAGAGCAAAACCGACCCGGGAAAATTGGGCGAAAGCCTCGATTCTGTGTATCAATCTGTGAATACGTGAAAGAGTTCTACAGCTGCACAATTTTAGTCAAGTCATCAAAATGGAGAGGCAGTCTACCAGGAATACTATATCCGTTCTCGCTGGCCGAAACGCTCGTGACAGAACACGTTATGTCTTTGTCTTCTCGCCGGCCGAAACGCTCGTGACAGAACACGTTAAAACATGTCTTTGTCAGATTCAGAATTGCAGTTTGTTGGATGGTATGCCGACTAACACTGCTCTCAACTAAAGTGGACAACCGTGCAGATCCCTTCCAGTATTGTGCTTCTGCCCTTGAGGCTGAAAAACTGTACGTTGCGTCATATTCATCAGACACCAGAGGAGGAGGGGCTTGAGGTGCACGATGAGTTTTGACATCCCGACATATACCGACAGGGAGGACAAGCAAGCTTGCTAGAACAGGAACCTTTTACCTAACTTGACGGATAGTTCGGACGGTAAAGGCTGCAACGTGGGTCAGATTTTTGGGGGTAAGCAAGGGAGGGTTTTGGTTTTTTTACTGGGTGACAGTTTACACGCGAAACAATGGTTGATCGCAATGCATCATTTGATTGGTGGGGATAGCGTGTGGCTGAAGGCCAGTTAACGAACAGCCGCAAAGGCAAATGATACTTCCCGGTTGCCGTGCCGATTAAATGGGTTGTTTAGTCTACCTCAAGTGGAGCCTTTTAATCAATGCGGCGGGGCTATGTAGGGCTTTGTTCGAGGACCCTAGCCCCTGAATCAAACGTGTGAACCACAAGGCAGGCGGAGGCCCGGCCATGCCTGCGGACTTATGGAGTGTGTTATAACTGTTGGACTCCTAATGCGGCTACCCATAGCAGATACCTTCTGCGCAGTACCAGACTCTACTTTTACGAGCAATTCGACCGTATCTTATGAGCGCCGGCGGTCACGGTCAACCTTTGGGAGATCGGAGTGTACGATTTTTAGGGCTTACCTTTTCTAGACCGTCCTTTCTCAAAGTAGTGTCACTGATTCTATGAATATGAACATGCTAGTCGCCCGAATGAAATGCCTTACGGTCTTCATACTCTCACCGCAGAGGACAATGCGGTTTTATCTTCAGAGTGCCTCTTAGTACGATTTCTCGCACTGCGGGTATTCACTGTTCTTCGTCGGGCTGATCCCCATTGGCCTTCTCGGTAAGTTTGAACTTGAGTAACTGAGTTTCAGCAGCTGTACCCCCCATGATCATTGCAGCATGGAAGACCGATCTCCATGACAATATTGCAGCTTCAGGTCGGGTTTTAAGGAGTGTAATTCATTGATACCTCTTGCCAAAATCCGCTGTCTTGCGGTCAGGTTTTTGAGCCAAAGGCTCTGGCCGAGGACTCTAGTCATCATTCTAGGTTTTGGCACCATGTCAGTACCTCAGCATGATTTTTGCAACTAAAAGTACTTTCGTGCCACATGGGGCGTCGCACTCCATCGGTCGGGTCGCTTGCTTGCTGGGTACAACAGAGAAGATAAACGAAGACAGACTACCGCTGAAGCGTCCCTTATTTCTCGTTCAACTGTTTTCTACCCCGCACCCCATCAATAATACTCCCTTTGTAAGTTTGTCCGTCAGGACTGACAGCCTCCTTTGTCTTGTATCGGTCTTGGCCACGACATCTGCCGGTCAGCTGGCGCCGATAGCCCCAGGCATCTCGAAATCAATCTTCGAGTCTCAAAGTCTGGCCTATCCGGCTGCTTTTAATGTTGGCATCTCGAAATCAATCTTCAAGTCTCAAAGTCTGGCCTATCCGGCTGCCTTTAATGTTTGCATTCTGTAGCCACCTGGGCTAAAAGCTGCTCTTATTCTCATACGACTAGCTTGGCATTAATATGTGCTGTGATTAGGGCACAAGAATTCAAGATGCAAGGACGATCACTGAGCTAAGCTCCCCATCACTCTTCTCTCGCTTCCGGCTGTGCACCTCTGGCGATCCATTGACCGCTGCTGCAGGCTATGCAGGGTTTAGCATCGTCCTAAGTCACCAGACGGAGTGGTCCTTGCTTGAATGGAGGCCCATTGAAATCTGCCTTTGCACAGCTCATGCGGTAACGTCCGTGAATCTCACAAGCGGGGAGTTTCTCATTGTTTGTTTGTTGTGTCTGCTCATGTTTTATAAGCTATGATGGTTAGGACATGTACTCTGCATACCAAAGGACCGTCTGCCTCGTAGAGCCCTTTTCACCCAGTCCTATGCCAACTGGAAGCAACCGAGCGATGTACAGTCTATGACATGGCAGTGAGGTATGGAATCTAATCAATAAACTCAGTCGCCTTCCGCCTCCCTGGATGAGGATCCCGGGACTCAACTAATCAGCAGTTAATGACACTAATAGCCATGTCTATGTCATGCAGTCGGTGGCGCTGGTGTATCAAAGCTATCGCCTGCGAAGTTTATTGCATCATCAGTTCAACATATAATGCGGACTAAATGATAATACCGTTATTTCCAATGACTGCCTGTATCTTCCACGCTCCCACCTTCCGGTGTCGAAAACTGTAGCAGGTAGAACCGACATACACTTCATAGATGATTTATAGCTAGTGAACTGAACCAAACTGAACTGCTTATCCCCCGGCTGATCTTTAGTGCCTTGTTACGGTGGGCTAAAAGTTTGGATGTCATTATAGTTGTCCGACAATTGAATGCGGACTTAGCGCATCGGAGACCCAATTTGGTGGTCAACTTAGATTCGTCTCCTTTGGTGCAGATAACGGCGGACCATCGCGTTCAGCTGTTTGCTGACCGTAAGCCAGTTTTATGCATCACTAATTTGCGAAATAATAAATCATATAGCTACATCGTGCTGTCCAAAAGTGTCTCAACCACGAATCCAAATAGATCACTTTGCCATCAGCTACCGGTAGCGTGGATCAATAACTGACTACCGGTCCTTTTGGAACACTTGTGTAGATTCTGACCATCNATTGGTGTTGAACACTGATGTCATGCTGTCGTTGATGATGATGATGATGTGTCAACCACGAATCCAAATTGATCACTTTGCCATCAGCTACCGGTAGCGTGGCTCAATAACTGACTACCGGTCCTTTTGGAACACTTGTGTAGATTCTGACCATCATTTTCTCTGGTGTTACTTCGCTTTTCGGTGTCGGGTAGGGGGCAGACAGCTCGCTTAGCAACTGAAAGGCTGGCAGGTCCCGAAGTTAAGGAAATTTATCAGAACGGTATTCTGGACTCTCCCAACGGCTACACTGTCGGATGTGAATTCGCACTAGAGTAAAATCACCACATCCACGATGCCGGGAGTTCCACCTTCGTCAAGACACTCCCAGCTCCACTCAAACAGTGGATATCAGACGGAACACTGGTCTCGCTTTACTTCGGAGAAATGTTCTTCGTGGTGCTGAATAAGATTCAACGAGAGGAACTGTCAGAAGTCAAGTGAAACCTTGACGCCGACCGTGAAGCCTTGGCCTGTAAGGCTAGGGAAGCTTATTCCGGTTTATGTGCGCGACCAATCACCGAAAACCGCGGATAAGCAAAATCATCGAAGATCAAAATAGAACAAATATCTTCAATAAAGAATGACTCCTTGATCGCTATACCGAACACTCCGAACATGAATCCTGGTAGCCACCTGTCGCCACTTTGTTTGTCGAACTGCGCGAGAAGCCTGTATGGTGAATCTAGAGGAATAATTAAAATGTGGGTAGCTTATAGGTGTGGTGTTGTTCTAGCACCCGACGGACTGCGCGAATATGGTCAGTGCAACATCTACCGAGCCGAAATCCCACTCGTGGCTCCCACGCCAGTTCTTCACAGGCCACCGCGAGCCGAAATCCCACTCGTGGCTCCCACGTCACAGGCCACCATAAGGCGACGAGGGGCAAGTTTCGCCAAGAGTCTCGTTATCATCACCATAATCATTGATAGCAACACTAAGTGAGAACGCTGGCTCTTCGTTACCATACAACCATGTCAGTTCGTTTCAGTAAATCCTTTTGATGGAAAGAAAGAAAAAGTGAAGCAGGGAGCGGGGCCTAGGTCTAACCTACCACAACTATCCAATGTGCCTGCACCTTAAAAACTCAGTCATAATCTGGTTCGAAATGATCGTTGGTGCTCCCATGCCGCACGACCATGCCAGCCTATTTGAATGAAGCCCCATTACCGAAAGAACGGAAAATGTGACAGAGATTGGCATTTAGAAAAAGCCTACAACGAGCATCCGAGGTGCGTATATCTCCAACACTCAGCCAGCCAATCTGGATAGAAACTGACTATGAACTCCACCTACATCAGTTAGGCGACATATCGTTCATTGCCTCCAGCCAGGTAGGTGTAGTGTCACCTGGATCCCTTCCCGGAGGGCGAACGGCTATGACAGCGTCCAAACTTTTTGTAATGTCCTTCGTTTTCTATCAAGTCGAATCCTGTCCAACTCTAGCTTTCCGCCACTCCGAAATAAGTACAGAAAACAACGCTGTTTTCGGTAGGCGGTATGTCTGTGTGTAATACATGGTCCAAATGCCTTAGTTTACAGTTCTGAATGCATTCTGTGGGTCTACTCCACCAAACACTTGTCTCCATTTAGTCTTATTGCGAACTTGCCGTTTTAGCCGACTCCAACTATAATTGTGTGCCATTGATGGTCGAAGATTTGAAGATGTCTCATAGCTTCCGTCCAAACCGGTCAAGTATCGAGGCCATACAACGTTACAGACCGTACTCCACTCTGATGCACGGGTCTTTTGATATCCAGTGAGGTGTCTTCATTCCACAAGTGACGCATATTTTCTGGATCAATTCTGGCCTTCGGGATTCGTGTTTCCAGTGCGTCTGTCACAATACCGTCAGAGCTAACGCAAATTCAAAGATACGTACAGCGCTCCACAACTTCCACTCATCATCATCATCATTCCCAGCTGTAAGAACAGCTCGCTTGTACAGTTTCGTTTATCGATGATTTGGGGAGTTTGGGCAGCTAATGCGCATTGGAGGCGGGGGCTGCTAAATTGATGCGTAAACACAGCACTG